CAATACTTGGGTTTTAACTCAACTACCATCTGGAAAAACTCCTATAGGATGCAAGTGGGTATACAAAACAAAATTTAGAGCTGATGGAAGCATTGAAAGGTATAAGGCTAGGTTGGTGGCAAAAGGGTATACCCAACAAGAAGGAATAGATTATCTAGACACTTTTTCTCCTGTTGCAAAACTCACCACTGTCAGACTTTTAATAGCCATAGCTGCTTCAAGTAATTGGTTCTTACACCAATTGGATGTGGACAATGCGTTTCTTCATGGTGACCTCAATGAAGAAATTTATATGCAACCTCCTCCATGACTAAGTACTCATACAAAGGGACAGGTTTGCAAATTAACTAAATCCTTATATGGCTTAAAGCAAGCAAGCAGACAATGGTTTGAAAAATTGTCCTCTTATCTAATCTCTGTTAAATATAAACAGTCTAAGTCTGATCACTCATTATTCACTAAACGAATTGGTACATCTTTCACTGCACTTCTTGTCTATGTGGATGACATTGTGTTGGCAGGAAATTCCTTGGAAGAAATCAATTCTATCAAAGAGCTTCTACATAATAAATTTCGCATAAAAGATCTTGGTGAACTCAAGTACTTTCTCGGCCTTGAAGTGGCTAGGTCTAAAAAGGGAATTCACTTGTGCCAGAGAAAATATACTTTAGACATTCTTGAAGAAACAGGAATGGAGGGATGCAAACCCTCTACTACTCCCTTTCTCAGAGACACTAGTCCATTATACAAATTGGACAGCCAACTTGATGACCCTGGACCCTACAGAAGATTGATAGGGAAGTTACTCTACCTTACCAACACTAGACCTGACCTATGCTATACTATTAACTTACTAAGCCAATTTATGCAATTTCCTACAGAACACCATTATAGAGCTGCTCAGCATGTGCTCAGATACCTCAAATCTACTCCTAATGAAGGATTGTTTTTCGCCGCTGACTCTCCTATGCACCTGAAAAGTTTCAGTGACTCTGATTGGGCTAGTTGTCTTAACACTAGAAGATCAACTACAGGATTTTGTGTTTTCATTGGGACATCTCTCATTTCCTTGAAGTCTAAGAAACAGAAGACTGTTTCCAGATCATCTACTGAGGCCGAATACCGAGCTCTAGCTGCTACTGTATGTGAAATACAGTGGCTCCACTATTTGCTTAAAGACCTTCAAATTGAAGAATCTGGAGTGCCTATCCTATATTGTGACAACAAGTCTGCTCGCCACATTGCTCATAACCAGAGCTTTCACGAACGGACCAAGCACATTGAGCTTGATTGTCACGTTGTTCGTGAAAAGATCCAGGAAGGGCTACTTCATCTTCTTCCTGTACGATCCGATGAACAGCTGGCCGACGTCTTCACCAAATTTCCGCATCGCGTCAACTTCAAACATATCATTCCCAAGCTTGGACTGGTCAATATACATAGTCCAGCTTGAGGGGAGGGTATTGAGAATCTTTCGATTCTCTTAACTGTTTTTGACCAAAACAGTTAATGTCTGTTTTGTAATTAATTGCGGTTGTTTTTCTTTCCCTTTTTCCCTTTCTAGGACTCTATATATACTGAGTCCCTTTCCCCTTTCCCGTTTGATGAGAACATACATCTATGTACTTTGAATATATACTCAAATAATAAAAGAAGAAGTTTTTCTTACTCACCGTTTCAAGATCTGCATTTTTGTCTTCTGCACCGTGAGTCTCCGCCGCTGTATCGGAGCTCCTCCGGCCTCCAAGGTTCGCCTCACTTGCTTCCTTCCACCAGAGAAAGCTTCCGACATTTCTCTCTCCGCGTTCTCCTCACGTTGCACAAATGCCACTCATACAATCTTTCAGCTTAAGCTTTCAGTCTGATGGGCCAAAGGTTGACTGGGCCTTAAGTGCACAGTGTCTGACCCAAATCAAGAATTAGATGCTCTATTATATCATTATAAATTTGTAAGTTCTGATATGCATTAGATGTTGTTATATCATTAGATGCTCTGTTACATCACTGTAAATT